CCAGGGGGGCCAAGGTCTCTCCCCCCTCCAGTTGACAATGCGGCAAGCAGCCGCTGCGGCTGAAGACTTACAGGGTTTTCCCCAGGGCTTCCCCATTTTTGAACAAATGCAAAGTGGTCAGGTGGTGTGAGTCCACCAGCCTGNGCCAGGGGGCCAAGGTCTCTCCCCCCTCCAGTTGACCATGAGCCAAGCAGCCGCTGCGCCTGAGGACTTACAGGGCTTTCCCCAGGGCTTCCCCATTTTTGAACAAACGCAAAATGGTCAGGTGGTGCGAGTCCACCAGCCCGTCTCGTTTCAGCAGCTGAAGGAACTGAAAGAGGCTTGTGCTCAATATGGCCCCAGCGCCTCATGCACCGAGGCTCTGATTGAAGCGATGGTGGCAGACGCTCTGCCTCCCAACGATTGGAAAAGCGTCTGTAAGACTTGCCTTAGCGGAGAAGATTATGCATTGTGGAAGTCAGAGTTTTACGAGCAGTGCCAGACCATTGCAGAGATGAACAGGGCTCAAGGGATTCCCATTACATATGAGATGCTGGTGGGGGAAGGCCAGTACCGGGACACTCAAAATCAGTTAAACTACGACCAAGGGGCGTATGCCCAGATTAACAATGCAGCCACTGAGGCCTGGAAAAAGCTCCCCGCTACAGGCAGAAAGACTGAGGATCTCTCTAGGATGCGGCAAGGTCCAGATGAGCCGTTCCAAGATTTTGTCACAAGGTTGCTCCAGACAGCAGGAAAAATGTTTGGGGACAGTGAAGCTGCAATGATTGTGGTCAAGCAGCTGGCCTATGAGAATGCTAACTCAGCTGGCCAGGCCGCGCTAAGACCCTGGAGAAAGAAAGGGAACCTTTCTGATTACATCAGGCTTTGCTCAGATATAGGGCCTTCTTATATCCAAGAGGCCACCCTGGCTGCTGCCTTGCAAGGAAAACCCTTGAAAGAAATCCTGTTCCAACAGCAGCAGGAGGGCAGAAAGAAAAGAACATCCGGTCCCCCGAGCAGCTGTTTTAGCTGCGGACAGCTGGGACATTTAATGCGTGATTGCCCTAAGGCACGCCGCGAACTCCCTGAAGGGATGGGGAAAAGAAGTAAATGGGAGCCAGGATTATGCCCTTGGTGTAAGAGGGGGAGTCACTGGGTTAATGAATGTAGGTCCAAGAAAGGTGCCCAAGGATGCCCCCTGCCCGGAAACGGGAGGAGGGGCCAGCCCCAGGCCCCGCAACAATGTTATGGGGCACTCTGGAATTTCCTCCCCGAAGGGACCCTCCGGGACACCAATCCATTCAACAGCTCTACCGAGCCACCCAGGCAGCTCCNCAATCCATTCAACTGCTCTACCGAGCCACCCCAGGCAGCTCCGGATTGGACCTCTGTTCCACCGCCTACACAGTATTGACCCTGAAATGGGGATGCAGGCCCTGCCCACTGGGGTGTATGGGCCCCTGCCGCCATGGACGGTGGGACTCTTGCTGGGTCGCAGCAGTAGCACCAGGAAAGGGCTATTAGTAGCCCCTGGAGTCATTGATGAGGATTATACGGGAGAGATTAAGGTCATGGCTCACTCCTCCTCCACCATTTCAGTAGTACAGTCAGGGCAGCCGCTAGCCCAGCTGATATTACTCCCCCGAGTAGTACAGGGGCCAACCAAGTCCCAGAGGCAGAGAGGAAGCCCAGGCTTCGGATCCTCAGATGTTTACTGGCTTCAAGAAATTGGACTAGAACGGCCTGAGTTGATATTAAGTATACAAGGCCGAAAATTCATAGGGCTCCTAGACACAGGGGCTGATGTTTCTGTGATTTCTAGGGAACAGTGGCCTCCTGAATGGCCTACTCAGGAAGCTATCACTCAGCTGCAAGGCATAGGACAGGCCCGCAGCCCAGAGCAAAGCGCGGACCTGTTGACTTGGACGGATGAGGAAGGGCACACAGGAACGTTCCAACCTTATGTACTCCCTACCATTCCCACTAACCTATGGGGACGAGATGTGCTGGCTTAAATGGGGGTCTATCTTTTTAGCCCTGACGCCATAGTTACTCAGCAGATGCTTGATCAGGGGTTACTGCCCTCTCAGGGGCTGGGAAAGCATAACCAAGGGATAAAACATCCGATAGCGGCTTCTAAGAGGCCTGACAGAGCAGGGTTAGGGTATTTCTAGTGGGGGTCGTTGGTCGTCCTGCACNCGGTTTCTAAGAGGCCTGACAGAGCAGGGTTAGGGTATTTTTAGCGGGGGTCGTTGGTCGTCCTGCAATCCACGCAGATCCCATCACTTGGAAGTCTGAGGAGCCTGTGTGGGTTGATCAATGGCCCCTAACAGAAGAAAAAATAAAGGCCGCAGAGCAGCTGGTGCAGGAACAGCTGGAGAGGGGGCACATAGCCCCCTCGAACTCCCCTTGGGACTCACCCATTTTTGTTATTAGGAAGAAATCAGGGAAATGGAGGTTGTTACAAGATTTAAGACGAGTCAATGAGGNAATGAGACCATGGAGCTTATGGGGGCTCTACAGCCTGGATTGCCCTCACCCATGGCCATTCCAAAGAATACCTACAAGATCATTTTAGATCTCAAAGACTGTTTTTATACTATCCCTTTAGATCCAGCGGACTGCAAAAGATTTGCATTCAGTGTGCCCTCAGTCAACTTCAAAGAGCCCGTGAAAAGGTACCATTGGCTCGTGCTCCCCCAGGGCATGGCTAACAGTCCTACCCTGTGCCAGAAATTTGTTGCTAGTGCGTTAGCCGAGACCAGAGAGAAATATCCTGAGGTCTACATGGTTCATTACATGGATGCCGTTCTTATTGCCCATACCCAGGAAGGGGTCTTGCATGCGGCTTATGCTGAGCTGCAACAAGGGTTGACTGCTAAGGGCCTTGTAATCCCCCTGAGAAAGTGCAAAGGCAGGCACCGTATGAATATTTGGGCTGCCATCTAGAGCCTCATTACTTTAGTCCCCAAAAGCTGGAGTTATGGAAGGACAACCTTAAAACACTCAAGGACTTCCAGAAACTGCTTGGGGACATCAACTGGATCAGGCCGCATTTAAAAATTACAACAGGAGAGCTTAAGCCCTTATTTGACATCCTCAAGGGGAATGCTGACCCTACATCGGAGCGGCACTTGACCCCTGAGGGGAGGGCTGAGTTGGCCAAGGTCGAGGAAGCTCTTGGTCAACAGAAGACCCCTTATTTCGACTATCATGCCACCTGGGAGGCTTACATCTTGCCCACCCAGCACACCCCTACTGCGGTCCTTTATCAGAAGGCTCCCTTGTTGTGGCTGCACCTACCTGTGTCTCCAGCCCGGGTTCTCATGCCCTACCATGACACCGTAGCTACCTTAATACAAATGATCAGGTTGGAATCTAGAAAGTTAATAGGCAAGGAACCCCCAACCATCTTTGTCCCTTTTACTAAGCAGCAAGTTGATTGGTTATTGCAGAATAGTGATGCCTGGGGGGCGGCGTTAGCTGGCTATTCTGGACAACTTGACAATCACGTGCCATCTGATAAGCTACTTCAATTTGCGGCACTACATGAATCTGTGTTCCCCAAACGGGTAGTTACTGACCCTATCCCGCATGCGCTGACTTTATACTGACGGGTCCTCCAATGGGACCGCTGCTTATTATGTCAATGGAACCACAGTCAGTTGGGCAACGGGCTCCACATCAGCGCAAGTGGTGGCACTGAAAGCCGTAGAGGCCGTGCTGCAGGAACACCAAACTCAAGCCCTCGATATATATACAGACAGTCAATACATTTATAGAGCCACGCTGCAGATTGAGGCGGTTCCCCTTATAGGTACCCAGAATAGTGAGGTACAAACCTTATTCAGAACTATGCAGCAGGTTATTCGTGGTCGCCAACACCCTTGTTTCTTTGGCCACCTTCGGGCCCGTACTAACTTACCTGGGCCCTTATCTCTGGGCAGTGAGCTGGCTGATGCTGCGACGCGTCAGGTCATGGCTACCCAGGAACAGCTTGCTCAGCAATCCCATAAACTTCACCATCAAAACAGCAACAGTCTCAGGCAGCAATTTA